TGGATGCCCATATTGGCATGCCGTGGGAATGTCGTCATCTTAAACAAGCGTTTGCTAGTAACATTGATCCATCTAATTCATACCCAATTGAGCTTGTGGATGCTGACAATGAGCGCATGTTACAAGTGTCCTCGAACATTTTCGTGGAGTTTGAATATGGCATTCACTCTGGACTACTATTTTTCGAAAATTCAGATAGATGCTTACATTATATCAGGGACAATCTCGACACAAATAAACAAATATATCTGATTGTATCTGATAATATTGGAAAGACATTTCTTCCGCGTATTTTACATGAATGTCCAGAAATATTTGATAAACAGTGTATTCAAATTTATATTTTCACTTTCTATGCATATTTTGACATGAACTGGACATATTGGTTATTAGATTATGCTGAGTTTATACTCGTCTTTAGCCATGAGGCTGATCTTTTAAGTCGATTACTACGTGATATAGCAACGTACTATACTAAAATCGGCAAAATATCGCTTAAACCAGGTTTATTAGTAGAAGCTCATCGAGCTCTCACTTATCTTGACTGGGCACGGACTCTTTTATTTCGGGCAGACAAAATCGATCCGTATAAAGACTTAAAAACCATTCGGGATGTTGAAAATCTGATTGGTCAAGCTGAAGAAATGATTGACAAGGAGGAGAGTTTTATAGACGATTATAAGTACGTTGAAGATGATTTGGAAAGAAGTTTGAATAACGGTATTTTCATTTATCACTCAAAAGAATATCAACAAGAAGCTACTCAGCTTTTGACAATACTGCACAATCTGACTAACGAACAAGGAGCACTGCTCGACAACTATACAACATTTATTACGAAATTTCAAGACGAGAATTGTGCAGCTAAACACTACTGTCCTATAATCATAGCTTCAAACAATATTAATCTAGCAAAAATATTTGCAGATTTATCGTCATTAGCAAGTATCCACCAGATTTATGTTCTTAAATCAAGTGAATATACAGCAGTTAAAGTCAACGATCGAACTCTTCTAGAACAATTTCTGAAAGTTCGGAACGTATATTCGCAGGCGAAAATACTTGCTCTGGAATGGACGGCCGCACGAGCTTCAGTGTGTGAGGAAGTTGGAGAATTATGTACTGAAAATAATAATGATGATTTGGCTCGTAGATATTATACAAAAGCAATAGAACTTAATGAGCGTTTAGCGGCTTTTATTACGAAGAAGTAGACTAACTCTTTCGTTTATTATACTTGGGCTATATATTAAAAACTGTACCATAATAATTTTTAAGTAAAGCAAGCAAATATAATTTCATCAATATATCTCTAACCTGTGCTTTAATGTCAGAATTTTCTGTAGACAATTTTGAGTAGAAAGAATTTTCCTGTATAGATGTGTGCTCATCTATCATATCCGTATGCCAGTAAAAAAGTCCAATTTTGTTTAATTCTAGCTTACGCTGATTTTTTAATAAATTTAATAAGCTCCAGGATAACGTGATCTTCGTTGTAAAAAAACGAGAAGGATAATGAATCGTTCATGCGATTCGCTTTGTAGTATTTATTACATCCCTCTTCTTTTTACGCTACAATATTAGAGACCTGCGGGACAAACTTTCCCGTATCCTAAATCCCATTTGTCCCGTCCCGAATTTTTTCAAATTGTCCCGTAAAATCCCGGTTACTCCGTGTGTCCCGATGATAAAAAATAATGAACAAATGTTATCTCTTTCTGCTGGAAAAAAATATCACACCATTTTTATTCAACCAGTACGAAAAAGTTCTCTTTTTTCTGTTATTCACTTAAATATTACAATAATTGTAATTAATAAAAATTTTAAAGTATATAATAGATTTTGAAACCGAGATTTTACGATTTGGGACATTCATTTTTCCATAATTGTCCCGATTTCGTTTGTCCCGTTTCAAAAACTTTCCGAGACAGTCCCATTCGTCCCTCGGGATGGAACAAATGGGATTTTTCGCGATTCGAGAATGTCTCGAAGGACTCTATACAATATACCATCACAGAAATCTAATATTTCGAGAATGAGTGTATCACTGAGTGTAGATATGATGCCCATTCACATACATTTTATTCATAGACACATCAATTCTTACTCACTATCTTCGACCCAATTACTCAGCTTGAATTTATAACGGCAAAAAGAAAACTATTTCAAAGAAAAGCAACAAGATGAAAATCATTGGCATGAAAACCAAGTATGTTACTTTTATCCTTGTCACGTGACAATTCGAAGTATATGAACAGGTAAGTCTGGTAGAAACGAACGATTACCTTAATAGAGCGAAATATTTACTTACTTCTTCTTTTTACAATGCCCAAACAGATATTTTTCTCAAAGGATCTTTATGGAAAGTACATAATATATAATATAGTTTCAGATGGATAATATAATACCTAGGATAAATTACGCATCATTATTGGTCCTTCTTGGGTCGAACAATATATTACAAGACTTCGACAGATCAGACTTCTTTCATCCACTATTTTTTCTTCACTTTACCACACCCGACGATTGTATACGGACGATAATAGCTTATACAAACGTCGTAGGAGAAATGGATATATTCCTTCCTCATAGTGCAGTTGATATTGTTCACGTTTATGGTGGCTTACCTAATTTACGAAGATATTTTCATCTTTACTGCGACACAGAGGATCTTGTGGTACAATACAAAAGATTACAGCAATCGAATATCTGCAAACAAGTATTTAATGCAAATCAAATTGAGTATAAACTTTATAAAGCAGCAAACTCGCATATTCTTTATTGCATCAACGATTTGGATGCACGCTCTGAGGCAGGAGATGCGGACGCACATGATTTGCGCCATCCGATGGGTGATCTTTTTGAGCAAAGTGCGACAAAAATCAATGACATTATACGACAGAAATCTTGTCTACCAGAACAAGCAAGCTGAAATACAAAAAAGGTCGTAGAAGATTAACTTTTTCAAGTTTTGTTTTTGTGAAACATGAACTAACAGAAACTGTTGAAGTATAGAATTTAATACTGTGCTCTCTTTTCACAGATGTAATAGAAATACACATAAAACAGTTCATACCTGTCCTTTTTCAAGACCCCAAGTTCCTCCTGAGTCGACTTCAGTAACTGGATGAAGAATCAAATATTAATGAGGTCGAAATCCTACATGAGCACCAACAGGATCACCTGATAGTGGGTGTGTGTGTAGATATTCAAAACTAATATCCACACCCACACCCTCAAGATGCATAAATGGAGAAAAAGGTGGGTTCTTGCGGCTCCAGCCCATACCTTCTGCTATCCTGGCAGATATCATAATCTAGCTGGACTAGAAGGATAATCTAATTTTCCGTCTCGCGTCGGCATGTATCATCACTGACGCTATCATTACCCTCACCTACACCCTCAAGCTGCGATATCACAATTTAACAATCGTGAAAATCAATAAAAGGTAGCAAATTCAGAATAATCCAAAAGGGTGAAAGAAAATCAGAGAAAGATTCAAATTTTGAAAATCTTGAGGGTGTGGGTGTGAGAGCCTTTATTTCATCTAAACCTACGTCTTCTTTGGTCATGTTTTTGTAAAGTAAAAATTCCACTATATTGTGATCCTACTGAGATGACTCAGCATTGCATAAGCATTTCGGAATGAATTTAGTGGTACGTTATTTTCTTTGCATGAAGTAGGAAAAAACTATGCCAACAGTCATTCTTCTCTGTTGACGAATTGAATGTATGCGTCATCACAGTATCTTATTTCGATTAATCGAAAGTATAACAAAATAAAATTCATCCTAACTGATTTTCTGTCTCCTACTTACGTACTTTTCATTAACTGAATGTACTGATTGCAACTAGTTATTATAAGCAGCCGTCATTTTATGTTGGTTACCTGTTTAACTGCAAAAATATTATGAGAGAAAAAACTTGTCACAGGATCGAATAAAGCTGAAGAATACAAAATTCTACTGTTATACACCATGCAATGCTAGCGAGTCATGTGTTAAGCGACAATGAGCAACGTTATTTTTTTTCTTTGCACATAACAGAATAAATAAAAGATTTGTGCACAACACTGTCGTCCGTAGAAACAAAATAAGTTGGAGAAAGGAAGAAAAAAAAAACAAGTGAAAATATGTGTGCTTTATATACATCGTCGCAGATTCAATTCGTGTTGATGTAAATTTTTATTCTGATAAAACATTGAGCTTGAAAGTAGCGAAAATGAAACCAAGCATAGATTTCGTAACAGTCATCGTCGCTCGACCCAACGAATCCTATACTGGTGAAATCAAAAAAATTAAAGAAGAAGTATGGCAAATAACAGATCATATAGAAGAATATGCTAGTGCTGATGAATGTGAAAATTTTGTCCGATCAGCTCGCTATAAATACATCTTCATTATCGTCACAGTTGATCTTATCAACGATCTATTCAGCTTAAATATTCATCAGATTCGTCAAGTTCAATCAATTTTCTTGTTTGATCCATATAAAAACAGCAATCCACTGCATATCAATGATCTACGAAAACTCTCCTATAAAGTAAGATGAAAAATTTCTTGCATAATGACTGAAGTGAATAACTTTCATGTGATTACTAGATGGAAGAGGTATATATTTCATCCAGTGATCTCATCCGACATGTCGAAAAATGTGTGCATGAATGTGCTAATAAATCTGATATTCTTCTTTCAAGTTTGGCTGGTTGTTCATCCGATACAATGACAACAAATCTAGTGAACAATATTGCCGATTTTGCTGAGCTTTGGTTTCCATTGTACATAGATTTTCTTTTTGAACTACCGATGGTGGATTCCAAAAAGGAAAAACTTCGATTTATCGAACAATGTCGAAGACATTTTGCTCATAATCCAGGTGCACTACAATTAATCGCTGAATTTGAAGAGTATTATGAGCCTCATGGGGCTTTATACTATTATACTTGTGATGGATTTTTCTATCGTATTGTCAATCGAGCCTTACGTCGACAAGCTATCGAGTGTATTCGAGATTTTCGATTTTTTCTGCTTGATATTCGCAATCAGTTACAATTAGCTCATGAGAAATTTCTAGACGATACAAAAGTGGGCATGTCAAAAACTTTCTTTCGAGGCCAACTTATGTCTGATGCTGAGCTAGAAGAACTACAGAAGAAGCATCGTGAAGGTACATTGATTACTACGAATAGCTATCTGTCAACGAGCGAAAGTATTGAAACCGCTCGGATATTTGCTGGAAAACCGACAAATGGAATCGTATCGATTCTATTCGAAATCACCGCTGAAATAAAAGATCCACAGATCAAACAACGTAAACCGTTTGCGAGAATTGGTCATCTCAGCAAGTTTGGGGAAGTGGAACGTGAAGTGTTGTTTTCTATTGGTTCATTCTTTAAAATAGATCAAATTGACGAAGAATCATCTTCGTGTTGGCTCGTCAAAATGACCTTTGTCGATGAAGATGATCAAAATCAGATTGTGACCAGTGATTTTCGGATATTAAGAACCTGTTCACTGGAAATGAAGGTTATCAAAATTGGTGATTTACTCGCCAAACACTCACAACAGGGAATATCAAAAGCCAGAGACTTCTATGATCTGATCAAAACAACAAACAGTTCGGAGGCTCTTAAAGCAGCCTGTGATGCCGGGCTCGGATGGCTTGCTCTCAATGAGAAAAATGTAAGTTTAGCTATCGAACAACAACAGATAGCCCTTGCCATTTACGAAAAATTGAAAAGTGAATGTGACAGTGAAAATCTCACACATCTATACATTACGAGTTATAACTGCATTGGAGCATGTTTTCGTCAGATAAAGAAGTATCCTCAAGCATTACAATATTATTGCAAAGCTGACAAATTAGCTTTGAAAGTACCAATCGATAAATATGCTATGTATGAAGGATATCGAAATATCACTTCAATTAATATTGCTTTGACGCATAAACTATTGGGTAATGTTAACCAAACTTGGGAACTTTACAAGAAAATTCTTGCCTATGAAATGAATACATCAACTCATTTTCATGGTCCTACATATCTAACTATTGCTCAAGCCGGTCTTCATGAGGCGCAGGTAGCTAATAACGTTGGTGAATATGAACAACATTTTCAACATTGGAAAGCCTTTCTCGATCTCAGCCTGACTAATATGTCTTCCAGTTATAGACGCAGCATTATCTCTGGAGTGCTTGTCATCGGTTTTCAGTATGCCGATAATCACCGAACACAAACAATGGCTATGGATTACTTTCAAAAAGTCATTCGAATTTCACGTCGATATATTAACGTCAATCGAGATGATTATCGTATTGTTCTCGATTGCCTAAATCAATTGGCACGATTGAACACCAAAAGACAACAGTATGTTCATTCAATGAATCATGCAATGGAGGCATTAAATATGTGTCGTCAAGATGACTTGGGTGGTATTGTAGAATGTTATAAAAGTATCGCTTTGAATTATGAACAACAGCTATTGGATCAGGAGAAAGATTTAACTCCAGATGATATTCATCGAATGATTATTGACAATCCCTTTACTAACGTTATTGAAACTGCAGTTCCAAGTATAGTAATAGCCTTCGAACGTAGTGAATTTGCTTTTGGACACTCTCCAATCAAAAGAATGAATCGAAAATTTCTAGAAGAAACCAATGATCTGCAAAGATGTTTGACTTATTGTTATTTGAAATTGGCTACTTTAACACAAGCACAAGGATATAAAGAGAATGATAATCGATTGACAGATAAAGTTCGTGATTGGCTGGAGAAGATACCGAAGTCATTGAAGGATGATTTTCAAGTTCAACAGATCTGTACGAATAATATGAATTATTTAAACGAAGATTTTGATCCGATTATCAACAATTATCGAGAAGAGCTTCAGAAAAATGAGCAAAACAACAAGGTATGTATTGGTGAAGATGCATTTTCTTATATTGCACATTTATATGCGAGAAAGAAGAATAGAGATGAAGAACATCGATGGTACAACTTAGCTGTTCAATATTTTCAATCTCATGGTCATATATGTAAACATACGGTCATATGCTTTCGTAAATTAGCTCATTTTTACGAAAAATATGAGAATATGATTGCAGCAATGAATGTTTATGAAACATTAATTATTTATTTAGTGGAACATCTTCCGTGTTCTTTTCTTCGAACTTCCATCAAGCCTATTGGTATGAATATTGTTGATCATTTCAAGAAACAAGGAGATAACAAGCGAGCTCTTCTTATTCTTCAAGATCTGATTGATTTGATGCTGATCGAGTCTGTTAACGGTGAGCGTGAAATCAACGAACAGTTTAAAAAACTCATTGGCAAATGTATGGATGCTGCCTGTGCTATTGCTAATTTGGCTTATGGACAGTATTTAGAAGTACTCTTACGACATAAACTTCAACCGTTCGATTCCTATATCAGTGACATCGAGCCTGCTTTTCGTCAAGCTATTTCAGTACATCAAACAGACAAAAATTACTGTAAATCTGTCGAAATCTATCAGCAATACATTGAATTACTAATCAATAGTACGATTAATCATGAATCCATTGTAGCGGCATTCAAACGTCTTGCATACAACTTTGAGACTTTGCGATTATCCAACGTAGAACTTGATATGTATACATATTTGGGTAAATTTATTATTAAATATCAGAAAAACGATGATAGAGTGTTGGCTGGTTTCGTTATTGTTCGATGCAAATTTATCAAAATGTCGAGTGGAGTTTTTCATGACGAAGCTCAACAAATGTTTATTCCATTAATAAAATTCTATCGAAATTCTTTCGAACCGCATGCTGTCTACTCTGAATACTTCAAGTCAAGACATGCTACTCTTCCACGTCATACAGTCAGTGGTATATATCTCAGTCTATTAGAATTATGTTTTCAATATCGTTCAGAATTCTATCAGAATCACATGAAAAAGAACATCGATGATTTACGAAACTCATCGGTAGAGTTAGCTGCTTTCATCACAACGTATCGGGTGAATTACAAAGCGCTCATTCTCGAGATTTTCAAAAAATATGGCAATCAACCTATAGTTCATCGTTCTTCAAAGCAATTCATTTTGAATTTTGAAGCTGCTGCAATGAACTGGCTTTCAACAGTAGAAAATGATCGAACAGTCTATCGGAGTCAAGTTCTTCATTCTCTTTTGGAATGGCATTCTATCGATGACGAATGTCTAGCAAAATGCTATGCACAAATGGGTGACAAGCAGAGAGCGGCTTCATTGTTTGATACTGACGTTTATGGCGATCCAGCACTGCGTTTTAATTCCAATGCATGTCGTCGTTTTCTTCAACACGTCTATCATCAAGCATCTGCCGAGGAACGACGGGAACTCGAACATCGTTATCAACAACATTTCTTGCTCGTGTGTGATTCTTTTTCAGATGAAATGTATTTCGAAATTCTTCCATTAGAATAAAATTCAATTTTATTTTTCTCACGACACAGTCACCTAGTCTGATTCCACGCGTAGTGATTCTCTTGAAGTAGATAGCAGCCAAACAATCGGGCTCTGTTCGATTCTTTTTATGATTCTTCGACACCCAATGCATGCTCAGACATTGAATCTACTCTACTAATATATAAAAATTCACAGGTATCGAAGGCAAGTGAAGAAAAAATTCATGATATACTCTTTTATGGGAATATTTGTAAATATTTTTACATTCATAATATAAAGAAAGTAGAAATATGAGTCATTGTTGTGAATCAGCCGTTGCTCTCGGTGGACAACCAGTACCGTCGTCGGGTATTGTACCAAAAATGATGTCGCGGGCTGTAACATAACGGCACCATACTCCACATTCATGATAGTAAACACTATCACTCTCGGTATCAACAGCGAATAGTTGAGGACCATCAACACTGATCGTAAAATAATGAATACCATTGGATAAACCAGTTCCATCACGATGTAATTTAGCACATAAGACTTCCCAAGCCTGTTCAACACCCAAAGCTGTTCGTTGGATACCGTCTCTCAAACTGACATACGTAAATTGACATGTATCCATTTCTCTTTGTATCTTCGACGTAAAACAATCGATGTTTATGTTTATATTTGTTTGAATTTGTAAAAAATGTTTTTTGTATGTGACCGTTTTATGTAACTTGGAAAAATCCAAAAAAAAAGCGCTCTCCAAGAAGAACAAACAATTTCTTTACTTTTTTTT